GGCATTTGCTGGGGCAGTGATAGACTGTGAGCAGGAGCTGAAGTAATATCCGGATACAACAGTGGTTCTATAGAGATCTTCTATAACATGCACCAATATCGGACTGTGACTCTAGCTCTATTACCCTATTTGAGAGCCCAGCAGAAGGCTTTTAGGAAAGATTCTAAGTACACTTAGCAATGGATGAGATAAATGTCTACCTTTATGTGCAGTCCTCCTTGTTTATGATTGACCAGTGAAGAACAGGATGGAAATTGAAGCAGCGAGAGAGGACATAAGTGTTTGGGGAACCATTTTGTCTACATTTCTTTCAAGTGTAAAATTCAACTATTTACTAAGATCTCAGCATGTCCTAAATACTTACAGGAACGGAAAGATACAAGGATTTATAAGATACCACCCCAAATCTTAGGTGGTACAGTTTACTAATAGGGGATAGAAAATTCACGAAAGTTTATATTAGGCTGAACCAATGATGATCTTATTACATATGGTAGAGTTGATTGGAGAAAGTTACACAGTGTTCAATCTGATATATGTTGGACTAAAATAAGAGCCACAAGAGTGTACACTATATACCATCTAAGTTTAGAAAAGGTCTAGAAACTTCTGCTTAAATATAATCTTTATAAGAACTTTCTGAGTTGGGTATTATTAAATCTCCATTTAGAAGCACTTCTGCTAAATGAACCTGGAATTAAATGACCCTAAACACTTGTCTTTATATCTGTAGATTACAGCAGCTCTCAAGCCTCGTTGGAGCAACCTCTTTCTGCAGTAGATGGTGCTTAGTACAGAAATCCATGTCAAGCCAGTGTGTGGTGGACAGGAAACTGTAAAGTGCTCAGTACTAAAGAGACATCTGTATCCTATTCCCATCACCGAGGGATCAGGGATTATGGTGGAAGCAAGAGGAGAAGGAAAGATTGTTAGAGCAAGAGGTAGAGAATGGCTGCAGGGAGATAATATTTTTTGGACAGACATGTTATGGTTGTTGCACACAAGATCTCACAACACATATGATGGCATGCACAAGACCTGGACAAGACTGAGGCAGACATAGTTCCAGCATAGGGTGGGGAAGGGCTCATGAAGTTTTATACTATCTGAGGAGCCTCTGGAAACTGGTGGCTGATGGAAGAAGAGTTAGAAGAGTTAATTTTTCTCAGATGCACCCCTGACAGGCTGCCCATGTTCCAGTGGATGAACTACAGCCATGCACATACTGGCAATACTAAGAGGACATGGAGTTTCAAAGACAGTACATGAAGCTGGCAGGGAAGAGTGGTGGTTGGAAGAGTACACAAGGAGCTAGAGGGAATAGAATAGATTTGATTAAAATATAACATGTTCATGTATGAAATCCTCAAGCAACACATTAATAAGATAAAAATGTCATTATAATACCTAAAAAGAGACACAAGGCACAAAAAAAGCAATGAATAAACATTATCATGTAAGGCATAAGCCACAGATGAGGGACTTAAGGCCATGCTGTCCACTTCAGAGAGTGAATTCTTAATCTGCATTATATGACTTCTCTTTGAGAGAAAGAGAATCACAGAGATTCCAAGATGAAGTATGTATATACCTGGGAAGATTAGGAAAAGTTTTGTATAGCGTAATATCTAAAACATGCCTAAAGGATAAAAAAAAATCATGATGGACTGTTCTATACCAGGAGGAATGAGGTAGCTTCTGGCGAAGGGGATATGATCATGCAAGGATGCCAGGAATGGAAATATGGGGGTTGTGGTGGCTCATTGTGAACCTTAACTTGAGCAGACTGAGATACATGAGAGCAGAATACACATCTAGGAGCGTGTATGAAGGTGCATAGAGAAGACTGACGTGTGTGAAAGGCGATAAGGAAGAAAGTACTTTCCTAAAAGTGGGTAACACTTCCCAAAAGGGTGTGGGTGTGGGGGCCCCAGAGGAGCAAAGCTGTAAGGAGAAGAGAACAGTGTGTATCAGGCCCCACTTGGCATGCGTGAGTGCTGTTGTTGCTGCTACAATCTGTGTTGGGCATCACTTCCATCTTCTGATGTGGACTCATGGCAGTGATAGAACCTTCACTGTTTATTATGAATATAATATGATATGATATAATATATAAATATCTACATACACTCATATATGTAAATATATTTGGTTCTGTTTTTCTAGAATACCACAATAAACACTGGGGCATACTAGACTGGATAGAAAAGAGCTTAAAATTGGTGCTGCTAAATCTCTTGAATGCTTAGTGTCATCCTGGTGTGATGGTTGGTGCGCACTGTCAGCCTGACAGGATCTGGGATCACCTTGGAGATAAGCCTCCACCTACCCCTGTGAGAAATCATTTAGTCTTTGCACATGCCTGTGAGAGGTCACGGAATAAATATTTAGTTAAAAGATGGCTTTTTAAAATGAGGGGGACAGTTTCCTCAGGAGGATACACGATCCTATAAAACTTTCACTCCACATGTTTAATTAAATCTTATACATTTGACTTAAAGTTTGTCAAATCTTTGAGAGAGTTTTTAGTTTATTTTATTTTCCTTTTATGGGGCACTGTTTCCAATCTGAGAGTTTATAAACTTGCACATAGAATTATCAATTGTGCTCTTAGTGTATTTTATGCTGAACACTTGCATGACAGGTAAAGCTACTTCACTAGAAAAATAAGGTCTTTGCTAGGATCAGGCTAGTATTTTTGCATGGTGTAGATTTCAGTGTCAGTGTACATGATACTTAAGTGTTTATGGCAGAGTGTACTAAACATGGTAAGTTGATGTGAACATTTGGTTCTGTCTATCCTGAATAAGCTGCCCCTGTGTATTTTGTATGGCTTATGTCCACTGATACAAACATCGGTTAGCACAGGGCTTACTTTCTCAAAACATCTCTAGGATAAAAGGAAGATAAAGTTTGATAAAGAAAAATGCAAAAGGATTGGATCTTTCTGTGTATGAGGCTATTAGGATGCTTGATTTACCAGATCTGAGCAATAATTAGCTAGCTTTCTTCCTCACCACAAACAGGAAATGATTCCATTCAAAGTGACAGGCATTCATCAGTCTAATCAAACCTTGAATTTTGACAAGACACGACGGTTAAGCTCCTCAGACCTTGTGAGTTGGTAGAGGAAATGGCTTGGGGAAGCCATGTTGGTCAGTTGAAGGGAGAACAGAGAGCAGTGTGTACTGTTCATGTGTAGAGATGTGTTCACATGTAGGTTCCGATGTGTTATATATGCCATCAGTAAATATTATTAATTGACCCTGCCCTCCTTTCTTATAGAAAACAACAATAGATGATATCATTTACTGAATAAAAAGTTGCCGGATAACCCAAATGTAACCCAAACTGCCCCTTCTTCTGCAACTCTTATGCTTCTTGGGGAGCAGAGAACATGTTTGAGCCTTCTGAAACAGGAAAGTTATGAAGGGTTTACAGTTGGGCACAAATGACAAATAGATGACATTTACTGAACATATTATCAGTCCTCACTTAGTGTCACTTCCCAAAGAATGACATTTAAACTGCACATTACCAATTTGCTGTGCGATTTACTCATAAAATTCAAACTATAGTTCTATGATGTTGCAATTATAAACAATAAGAGCAACAGCTTAAAGTTAATTAGGTATGCCCTTTCTCTTCCTTTTATTTTATTTTTGCATGAAATGGGCTCTAGTATATACTTTCCCAAATAAAGAAAATCTATCCCTAGAATCTAACTAAATAAGCTCCTACTAGGAGATCACAAATTTTGGTGACATAAAGGAGTTAGAAGGAGCATAAAACATAACCATTGACTTAAAGCTCCATATAATTTATTTGTGTAGCCCATATAATCCATTGAATCTTATACACTATGCTAATGTACACATTAAAACAGCATGATTGGTGTTGAGGACTTTGGATCCCAGTACCCAAAACTTACCAGTGGCTATTCCACTGATGAAGGTGACCACAGATACACACTGGTGTGGGAGGTCCTTCTGTCTATGTGTTGCTTTTATTGGTTAATGAATAAAGAAACTGGCTATGCCTATCACATGGGAGGAGGTAGGCAGAGTTAGAGAGGAGCCGCTGGTAGAGACAAACTGTTGAAACTGAATGCTGGGAGAAAGAAGGGCAGACTCAGAAAGAAGCCATGGAGCTGGAGATAGACACTGGGAACTTTATTCAGTAAGCCACAGCCACATGGTGATATACAGATTAGTAGAAATGGGTTAAATTAATGTAAAATTTAGTCCAAAAGAAGCTAGACCTAATGGGCCAAGCAATGATTTAATCAATACAGTTTCTGTGTGATTATTTCAGGTCTAAGCTTGCCAGGCAGCCAGGAACCAACAAGAGGCCTTCTCCAACACACACAACAATGTATAAATAATCAGAATTACAGGAGGTAAATGGTATCACGGAACATTGGACAAAGTTCCATAGTAAAAAAGAAGGTAGGAAAACTGGGCCTAGAGGATTTGTGGAACCTTTCCCATGAGTTGAAGATGGAGTTCAAGCTTGTGGATAAAGAGGAGATCATCAAAAGACACAAGGGTGTGTGTGGTGCATTTAAAAGAGAATAGACAGCTCGTATGAAGGCGGCATTTTGAGGTACAATGAAATTTGGTTGGAGAGACAAATTCTATCTTTTGCCAATGCTAACATTATATAATACTTCCAAACAACAATAATAATGTTACAAAAGGATTTGTAAAACAAGACAATTTTCTAAATTCAACAAATTACTGCTGATTCACAATAAATCCTTTCCTCTCTGTAAGCTTGGCTACACATAACCTGTAAGCATAAGCAAAACAGAAAAACGAAGAAAGAACTCTATAGAGAAACTGAATGATAAATCCTGAAAAATACTTTTTGCTTATAAAATTTTAATTCTGTCACTTTTCCTGTTACCAGTATCCCCAACAGAGAAAGGGTAGTCGCTTGAATTATACTAACATATGGAAACCATCAGAGCAAGTTAGTAAAACGACAGGAATTCTTACTTGTCCCCAGGTCTGGAATAATTCTTTGCAGAATTGGAGAAGCTCTGCCAAGAGTAACTGGTGTAACTGGAAAAGAAAAAGAAGAAAATCATTAGCCAACCTCGTAGAAACATCATCTGCTGTGACCCTGTTACAGCGTCCTTTTTGGATAACCAGCTCCCATGCAAGAACTCCCATGAAAATTAAAATTGTCTCTGTGCACTGAAAAGAGCTTGTAAAGGCAGAGCAAATGGAAGCCTTTTGGTTGCCGTTACTTCTGGTCCCACGCCCAGACACAACAGAGAGCAATGAAAACAATTCCTCCATCTATCACTTGAGTCTAAACTCAACTCTCCCTTGTGCGTATGACAGGGAACACAAGTTTATTTTTATTTTTTTAAAATCACAAAACTCAAGTTATTTTTTTAAAAAAGAAAAGTTTATTTTTGGAAATGATAATAAGCGTGAACATTCTTAGGCTTTGGGAAAAGAGCAAGGAGAAGTACACAATTGAAAAAGGGAGACACGGGAGATTTTTGAAGGAAAAAAATGGACAATAAGTCAGTCATTATAATGCACGCAACTAGGAGCAGGGTGCGGGGAAGTAGGCAAAAATGGAAAGTGAGCAGTAAGATCGTCTTTCTAGCTGAGTTGCTTTGCAAATGCCCAGCTACAAAAGGAATACACTGCTGTCTGGTCTTGGTGGAAAATAGTGCAATAGGACTGGATAGATAATCTCTCATTACCACCAGGGCACACCAAACACTGAGATTTAAATAAAAGCCAGGGAAGCTACCCATGATATGGCTAAATTGACGTTTAGTCTTCCTACTGTATTTTGACATATAAATTCTTAAAAATATTTGCAATACTCAGTGATGAGTTTTTTTTTTTTTATAGGTCAATGGGTTGACTGATGGCTGGGGACTTCCTCCCTTAGAGTGGGAACCGGCACAGGAAAAATCAAGGCATCATTACAGAACTGACATATTTTTTTTTTCCAGTGTTATCTGAAGCCTTTTGAAGAGAGAAAGGGACTAACGGTTAAGTTCATCATCAATGGGCAGTAGTTTAATAAATGTAGTAAAGAATGCAGCATTCACAAAGAAAGAAAAGGAAAAAATTAAAGGTCAGAGTTCAGGAAGCTTCAGTTAGCAGACAACCTAGAGATGCCTAGAGGACACCTGGGCTTCCTCAAAGGGCACAGGGGCTTCCGTAGAGGATACCAGAGACTTCCTCAGCCCTCCCTCACATTCTTCATATGCTACAGTGTGGATGTCAATCATATTCCAAGGGCCTATGTGTTAAAACTTTGTTCCTCAGACTGACACTAGTTGGAAGTGGTGGGAATTCAAGAGCTGAGGTGAGTTGGGAGGGTCTTCCCATCATTGGGGGAAGAGTGGATTTAGAATGGATGCTGGACCCTTAGTCCTTTCCCAGCCCTGAGGTAAAGAAAGTAGTCTCTTCACGTGCTGCTAGAGCGTCCTCCATTTCATAGGCTCCAAAGCAGTGGGGCCAGCTACTGATGGTATGAAAACTCCAAAGATGTGGGTCAAAGGAAGACCTTTTCTCTATATAAGTTGATTGTTTCAGGTACTTGTTACAGTAGCAGAAGCTTATTAATACAACACCTCATCATCTGTGTCCTTTGTGAGACCCTTGGTAATAAACTAAAATCATTAATGAATGCTTGTCTGAGTTCTGTGAGTTAGCATAGCAAATTTTTCAAATCTAATTAAAAACCTAAATTCTTTCAGAACTGTAGCATATTTATAATTGATAGCTAAGAAGTCTTTCAGAAGTATAGTATATTACACACACTGGTTATCTGAAGTGGGAGACAGTTTTGTGGGACTGAGATGTCAACCTATGGGATGTGACAGTACCTTCAGGTTGGCAGCGTGAGAACTGAATTGTTCTATAAGATGGACCCTCTCCCCTAAGTATTAGCCAAGTGTGTTCTCACACATAACGTTTTGGTGACCAAAGGGCACCAAAGAATTCTGCTTCCAAGGGTGTGGTCAGAGACACCGTGTTTGTTTTTCCTGTATCCTCTCAGACAACTGATAATATTGTCTTAGTGCTTAAATAAAAGGGCACACACTGAGAACTTTGTCTTTCGTAAAACACAGGAAAGAAAAAGAAAACAAAGATCAAGTGGGCAGCGAGATGGCACACTCCCATCGCTCTGAACTTCAGCCCTGGTGAGTTTAGTCCACCTGCTTCTTGAGGTCCTTTCTGTTGAATGTTTTTATGACCTCTCCCCGCTTATCTGGCTGGTAAGAAGCAGCCATTGTGTTTGCTGAAATAATGTAAAAATCTAGTAGATAGAGTGAAGGCTTTCCTTTGAACACAGAATTCTAATATGAGTAGAATTTGGGGGGTGGTATCTGGGCATTATCACTAAAGATACTAAAAGAAAGATTTGAATTTTCTCTGGTGAATCAATCAGTTTTAAACTGTTATTATACTATTTTAAATTGCATGTCTATTGGTTTTCAAAGTTCCTATTTACTTCTGAAATTTTATAGTTTTTCATTTATTGAACTTATTTACTCTCATAACTGATTGTAACAAATTTTAACTATTTGCTATATATCCCAGAATAAACAATGTACTAAGCATCAAGTTTTAATATGAGTAGCAAGTAAAAGTTGTCTTTTATGACAATATCATTAAGTCCAGTTATTAGCAGCAATGTTGACAGGTTTCCCAAGAAGATGATTGGAGCAGACTGTGTAGGTCAGTCCTGAGGCCACAAGTAGAATCTGAGCCAAACGGCTGTTCTGGAAAATCTTGGGGAGCCTTGGATTCCCTGACTTCTCACAGAGACATCTAGTGTCACCCCCTCTGTGGTACACTAAGTGACATTCTCATCAAGCAAAAGCTTTACTGAGCCAACACACTCTATACCGTGCAGCGAATCGAGATATAAAAAGAACAATTGACCTTCTAGGGGAAAGACCACAGTCTTCTGTCAGTGCCAAGGGGAAGCTGGTTACAAATGTAGCACACTACATGCTGCCTTAGCAAATGGAAGTGTCACGCTTACCCATCAATTTTAATTAGTGTCAAAGTCATGTACCCAGTGTCTCTGCGTTCTGACCGGTAAGGAAAAGGCAAACAAAAGGAAGAGCGTAAGCAGAGACCACAAACTCTGACAGTCATAGCAATTAATGAGGCGACCACACAGGGGTTTTGGTTATGATCTGCAGGAATTCAACTTATTATCTAACTCAATGGGATCAATAAACATTTTAAAGGGACCTTTAGGTACTGGAATTTTTAAAATTAAGGAACAAGCAACAGCTCCTGGCCTCAACAGGCCCATGGCAGTTTTCTCTTTTTCTCCTTTCTGTTTCTCTTTTTCCTTCTCTCTGTCTCTCTCTGTCTTTCTTTTCTTCTCCCTCCCTTCCTTCCTTCCTTCCTTCCTTCCTTCCTTCCTTCCTTCCTTCCGTCCTTCCTTCCTTCCTTCCTTCCTTCCTCCCTCCCTCCCTCCCTCCCTCCCTCCCTCCCTCCCTCCCTCCCTCCTTCCCTCCCTTTCCTTTTCTTTCTTTTATTTGGGGGGCAAGACTCTGTAAAGGGAGTGTCCAAGGACTTGGAGTGCAATATGGTACCCTCCTAACAAGCTTCTTGGGGAAAAATGAGACAGCTGACAAGTTTAAGACAATAAGCAATGGTGACGAAGGACAAATGCAATTGAGTCAAGAACACTACTGCAAATGTCTGCTGCGGCAAAGACATACCTAGAAATATAAAACTGTAATGCACTCGCCATGGATTAAGCATATGAGTTGCGATATGCTGGGTTGGGGATAGAATCAGGCACACCTTGGGAACGATCTTGCTGAAAGACATTTTGATTCTGCAATCACTAAGCAGCTACGGATTTCTTGGGTTTTGAGGTTGAGCGCCTCCTGCTGGACGTGCTCAAGAACAGGTTCCCACTCGGAGATCCAGCAGTAGAATACCCTTCACTACTGTACTTTCTCTGCTTGCACTTTTCAAATGAAGCATGCATCTGGACCTCTGTCTATGCCTGTCAATCAGGAGTCTTTCTGTTTCTGTATAAGGGGTTAAGCCAACTCCTACATACAAACAATTTTCTTCAAGTAGTTACTATATGTTATTCTTCCTGTTGTTGTTGTCATTCTTATTAGTAGGCACCGCCTTCACAGTGGAGCATGCCTTTTCCCACGGACAACCTGGCATTGCCTTTCTATTGGAACCTGAGTTCGGACGCTTTCTTCAGCACAGTATGCAGCCATAAACCCAAGCACTCTGCTTACGTATTCCTATACACTACATGTTGTTAGTAGATTTTCCCTCCCTAAAGGACTTTGCGGATGTGGTATCAGTGGAGTATAGGATAGAAATTCATCTAGGTGAGCAATTCAGTCTGAGACTAAACACACTCCACCCTAGTTCTCCAACTCTAGTATTATTAAGGGAGCCAAAGTGGGAGGATTAAGGTTCTGGCAAATACTGTAATTTGCCACTTGTATAAGAATGGCAGTTATAACCAGTCCCCCATGGTGGAGACACAGTAAGGGAAGCATAGTACTTCATACTTCGTATGATAACCCTTTTATACAATGATGGAAGTCAATCCATGCACAGCAGGACAGAGGGGGCCTACTACAAAGTAAGGGCTGGGTAATGAGAACTATTGCATTACTGTTAATGTATGCTAATGCTAATGATGATGCTGTAACTGTCATGAAATGCTCATCTCAAGATGTCCCTTGAGAGGGTTTGTTTCCTCCCTCGGGCAAGTAAATTGTTTTCCACCGAGCAGCTGTCCAGCTGTCGATACTATGTTTCCATCCCTTGCTGCCATGGCCTGTTTGCTTGTGTTCAAGGGTACACAATGAATTCCTCGGGGTCAAGATTATTGCTTTAATTGCTTTATGAGCTGTTAGGAGCACAGCAGGTGCTGCCTAGTAGAGTAATGTAATTTGTAAAACTACGGATGCTTTAAACGTTTGTGTGCGGCCACAAGGGAATCAAACGTTCTAGAAGTAGGATCTCCATTTGGAAACTATCAAATTTGTTGAGGACTTTTCCATTTTTATGAAGCCCATTTA